TCTCAGCTGCTTTTGGGTGAAGGCAGGGGACACTCAGGACAGGTCTCCAGTCCATCACAGAGACAGACAAAGAGACAAACAACTATCCACACTCACAGTCACAGCTAGAAACAATTTACAGTCACACAGAAGAGTCAAAAAAGGGATTCAAACTGAGGACTCAAGTTCTCGATTGAGAGTTCTAATCACTAATTAGCAATAATAATTGATCATATTTACCAAGTTAAATTCTTACTGATAATCACTGTGTGGAGTCTTTAATAATGCAGATCAGATCAGATGTGATTAGGTAGTCATGTATTCACATGTGTGTAAATGTATTATTATTAAAACTATAAATAAAGGTGAGCCATGCAAATTTGTTTGGATTGAACAAGTAGCCCTGCATATCTCTCGGCCCCACTGAAGTAGCTCTCAGTCTCGAAAAGGTTGGTGACCCCTGATATCAGAATCAGAATGATCAGACAGGTGTATGTGTGTGTGTGTGTGTGTGTGTGTATATATATATATATCTACCAGTATATAGAGTTTAATTTGATCATTTCAAAATGCAGGATCATATCCCCGACTCCAACGTTTCTCTGCCAGGCTTTCTGACCATACGAGCAGATAGAGATTTAAAGAGGAGTGGCAAAAGGAAAGGAGGTGGGTTGGCAGTGCTTGTGAACAACAGATGGTGTAATCCTGGACATGTTACTGTGAAGTGTCGTCTCTGCAGTCCAGATATTGAACTGTTAGCACTAAGTTGTCGTCCATATTATTTGCCAAGAGAGTTCACCAGTGTTATTTTGGCAACTGTTTACATTCAACCCAATGCTGTTGCCGAGACTGCGTGTGATGTCATCAGCTCTGAGGTTGCTAAGCTACAGACACAACACCCTAGTGTGTTTGTTGCAATGTCTGGGGATTTTAATCATGTCTTACTCTCTGCTACACTTCCGACATGCCAACAGTTTGTCAGCTGCTCTACCAGAGAGAATAAAACGCTGGACTTGTTTTATGCAAATGTCAAAGATTCATACATCGCTAAAGCAAGACCCCCTCTTGGCAAATCAGATCACAATCTTGTGTTTCTCTGCTCAAAATGAAAACCCCTTCTTCAGAGGCAACCTGTAATAAAGAGAACAGTGAGAAAATGGTCAACGGAAGCTGAAGAAGCCCTGCGGGGTTGTTTTGAGGCTACAGACTGGGATGCACTGTGCCAGCCACATGGAGAGGACATCAGTGCCATGACTGAGTGTGTGACCGACTATATAAACTTCTGTGTAAACAACACCATCCCCACCAGAACAGTGAGATGCTTCCCCAATAACAAACCCTGGATCAGCACTGACCTGAAGGAACTGCTAAACCAGAAAAAAAGAGCCTTCAGAGAGGGAGACAGGGAATTATTGAAGAGCACACAGAAGCAACTAAAAGTCAAGATAAGAAACAGCAAGGAGGTGTACAAGAAGAAGCTGGAGAGCAAGCTCCAACACAACAACATCAGAGAGGTGGGGTCAGGGATGAAACAGATCACAGGCTTCAAGCAGAAGGAGGATCAGAAGGATGGAAGCCTGGACAGAGCCAATGAACTGAAAACATTCTTCAATAGGTTCAGTTCAAGAACAAGCTCAGCATATCCTGATGCATGCTCAATAATCCAGGTAGAAAAATCTAAAAAAGTTTAATCTGGTCCTCTGGACATTCAAAAAAAAAACAACAAAGCAAATCAACAAAAAAATGTAGAAACGTTTTGTCTCTCATCTGAAAGACTTCCTCAGTCTGAGGTGCTGTATTCAGCTCAGTCTCTTAAATAGCACCGTCTCAGAGTGGATCAACCAGTTTTGCTGCTGACAACCAAAACCAGCTGCTCACATGCTCAAGAAGGACCATCAGCCTAACAATGGATCATTAGCACACTGATGGCTGTTTACTGTTCACAGAGGGCTGAGTGATACTAGCAATCACAGCATTGTAAGAGGGGGACAGTTGAACCCGGAGGCCTCCACCCCTGTTTAACGATGGACGATTTCTTTTCACAAAGATGGCCTCCTTTACTCCTCTCTCAAACCATCGTTCCTCTCTGTCCAGGATGTGAACATCTTCATCC